CTGCAAAAGAAGAGGTAAAGTAATATTTATAATTAAGAACACCTATTCATTTTATACTCACACATTGTCAATTTTTCCAACTTGGCATATGTACTTGCTATGTTTTTGCCAATATATTTGTGACCATCATAAATTCCTTTCATACGTCAATTGTTGCACCATAGCCTGTAAGAAATGCGTAAACATAATAATGTAAACGTCTTCAAATGCACTTCTACTTCTAACTTACTTGTAAGTCTCTAATATGTTGCTCGTACATAAATTGCGTCTGCGTCGAGGTCTCTATCCGATTGCGGCCTTGGTTTACATTGGCCTTATCCGACAACTGGCGTATGATAAGCTGCGCCATTTCCAACTCATTTGACTTTTCTTTGAACTGATGTTCAACATCGGGAGCACGTTGCTGCGTAACATCTAACAGCCTTTTCATTTCATCCAGATGAGCCGCTTGATGTGGCCAACACCCAAAAGGTTTGTTTACAAAGTGCATTTTTGAGTAGTTGAACAAATGCCAGTGGGCAGCCAGCGGGTCAGGTGCTGGCAACAATTTGCAGGCTTGGGCCAGCGTTTGTTGCGGCTGCCGGAAAAGTAGCTAAATAATGAAAGTAATTATATGTATAGCGGAGTAGGAGGTTTTCCTTTATTTTAAAAGCTTGCTTACTGATTTCACTAATTGACGACGATGCAACGATCACCGTGGAATCGTTCTGCATATTGTTACCAGCAACTGACCCGCTGGCGGCCCGCTGGTATTTGTTCAATTACTGAAAAAATGCAAATCATTATAATGATTGCAGTGTTTTAACACTTTCAGCGATTTGCATTGCATTTAAGAAGTACACATTCTTTACTTTTAAACAACCAATTTACCATTTAAAATTAAATAATTCCGTAAATCCGCGATTTATTATGCACTTTGTAAACAAACCTTTCAATTTCGCCCCAGCTGTTCGATTCTTCTCCTTTTTCTTATTGAATTCGTCTTTGCTCTCTCATTCTGGTATTTTTTGACGTCACGGCCAGTTGCTCTCAGCTCGATTGGCGCAATCTTGTATTCTATCGTTCTTGGGTCGCTATACACTGTAGTAGTTGATTTATCTATTTTCAGTTCAGTTTATACAACGTATTTATATACGTGCCCCTAAAATGTTTTGAATTTGAATCAAATCGGCCTGGAAATTCGGATTTTAGAAATATCTCGACTCCAGCGCCACCTATCGAGTATATTTTTACAAAATATATTTATGTTTAGGATTTAATAAATGTTTCGAATTTTAGTCCAATCGGTATGTAAATACGGATTTTAGAAATATCTCGACTGCAGCGCCACCTATCGAGTCTATTTTCAGACAATATATTTATGTTTAGGTGTTAAATAAACGTTTCGAATTTTAATCAAATTGGTATGTAAATACGGATTTTACAAATATCTCGACTGCAGCGCCACCTATCGACATTAGTTTTGTTCTATAACACTCCCAGTAAAAATTTCATTAAAATCGGTTGGGTACTTTTGACGCCTATAAAGGACATACAGACAAACACTCATTTATATATATATAGATATGTACTTTTTTCGTTTTTTTTTTTTTGTATTATTCAAGTTATCTTAAGCTTAATTGATTTCAAAAATAAATTTCCAAATTTCTCTTTGAAGAAAAGAGGTGTTGTTTGTCTAATCTCAACCGCAGATTTTTTTGAATGGATCAGCTGTGTCCCTGGTGGCCGGCTCCTCATTCTCTGTAGCCGGGCCGGCATCCGGTGATGGTTGGGTGACCCTTGGTTCGTCGGCGGTCTGCCGGGCTGAGTTGGTGGTTGCTGCTGCTTTATTGGTGGTGTTGGCGGCTGTTGTCGCTGCCTCGGCTGTGTGGTCCGATTTGGCGAACAGCTGGGCGTGTGGCTTGGGCACAACGTGGGCGAGCGGTGGGCCGTGAAATATTTTAGCGCAAAGGATCCGCGGTTTGTTTGGTGGCCATGGTACGGCCTCAAATGGCGGTCGCCATGGTGAAATCGGCCGTGGTTCGTCCGGTGGGATAGGTTGTCACCAACGGCGTATACGGATGGATGTGGCTGTCTCCGTATCACCTGCTGCATGGCAGGATTGCGTGGGTAATGGCGTTGTTGTAGTGGTCGATGATGCCGGAGTGTGATTTCGCGTTCGGCGGTGGTGCTTAGCCCGGTACTTTTTGCAAATCGCGCTTTGTGGATTCCCAAGAAATCGGCCAGTCTTTTGTTTTGCTTCTCTTTCGGGTGCGTCCTTTCGGTTAAGCTGCACAGAACAGCTGTAGCATCGGCTCTCGGCGGTGGAGCGGGAGCTGGGGGCTGGTTATCAAGTGTCACGACAATGCCTCGTTGCGCCAAAAACTCCATTCCCAATATCATTCTTTCGGCCAGATTGGGGATGACGACAACCAGTGTGCTTGATGCTCGGTCATTTGGTCTGCTAGTTGCACGTTTTGTTTGTCGGATCGTGGCTGAATATTGCGCTGCTCCAGATGCTTACGTGGGTATTCATTGATGTATGTTAACGTGGCTCCAATGTCTATTAGGGCTCGGACATCCATGCCTTCGACTAGGACGTTAGCATAGAAGCGGCCATCGGGACCTTGCCAGCCTGGTCGAGACGTGGTTGGTGGATCGACGGGTGATTTGAGGGTGGCTGTTTTCTTCTTGCGACACAGGCAATTCCTGGAGAGGATACCATCTCGTCCGCATCGAGAGCAGAATAGTCGCCTCGGGCCTCTAGCAGGTGTTTTTCGCATCGTATCCTTCGTCTGGAGTGGATAGGCAGTATGCTGATTTCCTGGTTTGCCTTGCCTCCTCGCTCTTGAGTAGCTCATATTCGTCTGTGAGCCCCATCAACTCTTCGAATGTCTGGAACTCGCTCCCCTTTATGAATAGTCGGTACTCCACCCGCAAGCCTTCGTAGATGCGCTCCAATTGGTCTTCGTTACACATAGTTGGGTGCTGTCGGATTAGCGTTAGGAAGGCGAGGATGTAGTCCTTGGCCTTTTCTCTGTTTAGCTGTTTCCGCTGGCGAATGGCGTCTTCCAACCGACTTATGTGTCGACGCGGAAGAAAGAATCGTTCAACTTCGGCGCGGAATACGGCCCAGGTGGTTATGTGTGTTCTTCGGATGCGGAACCATTGGAGTGCCTTGGCGCGGATCATTTCGGGTAGGGTTGGGAGGAGTTGGTCTGGCGTGATTTGGTAGCATCCCGCCAACTCCTCAATCCTCTGCAAGAAGTCGTGCAGAGTGTCCCCGCCGGAGTAGTGTACGTCCCAATAGCGGACTGTGCTCACTCTCTCGGCATTGCTCATATGGTCTCGTTTCTGGGCGATTAGTCTTGCCCCCCCCGGTGGGTAAGAGGGATTCGCCAAGTTTAACTGCAGGAGTTAGTTCGTGTGGCGATTTCGCCATGTTAGCTTCTTCGGCAGCGGTCTCCATCTCCAGTTCTTTGAGACGACTTTCGGTCGATTTTCGGTTTCTCTTCGTCCTGACGAAGTTGCTGAGAGTGCTGCGTAGATCAGCGACGGTGCTCCCTTCAACGGGTGTATGATTCCTTTTGCATTTTTCCAGCAATCTCTCTTTCTTCAAGAGATATATCCAGCCAAGAGAGACAATGTTTAGTGTGGTATTATCATTTTCGCTCATTCGTGTGTCACTTACTTGTTGGGGTGTCTTCGATGAGCCAGCTTCCGCAGTGTTGGTGCTGGTTGAGCTTTTTGCATATGCGCCTGCAGAGCTGGGTCCCTGCTCGGGCGCTATTTATGAGGTGGGTTTTGTCGAAGACTGAGGTATGCTCAGCCGCTCCAGAGTCCAGCGAAGATCCCACTAACCCCCACCAAATAAAACACAATAATTTTTGTATTAAGTCGAACACAACCACACACACACGCGGCTATCTAGAATACCGGCAACTTGTCGTGCAGGGGAGAGAGGGAGATGAAAAGAGAGAGTCGGTAGTCGGTGTTCAGCGGGTATTTTTACGGCGACGGGAGCGCTGTTGGTGACAGCAAGATTGACAGTGGTACCCGTCAGTCGTAGCGAAGAGCGTGGCAATGAGAGCAGTCGCGGTGGTTGTGACGGCAGTCTGCAGTTCCCTTGTAGTGGTGGTGGCGGCCTCAGCGGTGACGTTGGCAGTGGCCCATATAATGATGAGGGCGGCAGCGACCTCTCGCAGTGATGTTGAATGTGGCCCTGATTGTGGCGAAGGGCGAATGCGGCCCTTTTTAACTACGACGGTGACAGCGGTCCTGGACGGCGATGGTTGACGTTCGCAGTTCTAGTGATGATGGCGGGCGGCCCACGCTTTTAGCTTCGGCCTTGGGGAGGCAGTGCTAATAGCGGCCCCGATAATGAGAGCAGCGGTACGGGCCCTAGCGGTGATGATGGTTATTGCGGTGGCCCGGGATGACAGTGAATACAAATCGCGGTTCTTTGTGTTGCTGGCGGGCGGTCCTTGGCAGAAATGTCGTCCTTGGGGCGGCAGTAGTAGTGGCGGCCCCGGTGAAAAGAGAAGCGGTCCGGGCCCTAGCGGAGATGATGTTGGTGGCGGCGGCCCTGAATGGCAGCGAGTACGATTAGCGGTCCTCGGTAATATTTGCGGGCGGTCCTGCGTAGCGATCTCGGCCTTAGGGCGGCAGCAGTGTTGGCGGTCCAGATTGGTGACCTACGGACAACTGACCATTAGTGCCTTCCCCTAGGGCGTCGAAAGGTTGCCCAGTCCCCCCGTATGTATTCGTGGCCGCTAGGCGCTGCAGGGGGTGGTTCGCCCCCTTCAATTCCCGCTAGCCACGCGGTATCGTAAGCAGGCAGGGGTGCTCGGAATTGGGAAAGCCCAAACGGGTCACGCCCCTGTCTGCTTGAGACCGTCTCCAAAAATGGGTCTAGCCCATGATTCAATAATGAAAGGTTTTGTAAGAAAAACTTTCTCTCGCTCTAATTTTATCAATGACACTCCCACCCTACTCCTAAAAACAAAAACTGATATTTCTTTTCCAAATTTCTTTGCAAGTTTTAAGAACAGTTTTAAATTGTTAGTAGTGAAATTTTTACCTTTTAAATTTGAAGAAAGTTTGTTCTTCATTCGCTGGCGCCAACAAGACAAAATGGGTTAGAATCGTTGGACTACAGAATTCAAAGAGACGAAATTCCCTTAAATGCCGAAATGTATTTGTCGATATTCGTGGAGGCCTCTTGATTCTGCCAAGTCGCTGTAAAGTAAAGCGTTCAATGGTTTTGGTAAATGAGCCAGCGAAGGTATTTAGGTATTGTCCTCCACAACACAATCCAGCTGTCTCCGAATGAGACTTTGACGCAATATAACATTGCCAAACCGTCACACGACAGCTCGGTTTAGTCAATGGCGCGATGTAATTGCACACTAAAAAGGTGTACGCACGAGGCGAATGTTGGCTGGCCACCAACTTTGTTGAAAGCGATTAGTTGAAAGTAGAATGCAAAGTTGAACAATGCAAACGCCTTTTTATGGCGAAAATTTTGATATTTTTTTATATTTTGATATTTTTAGTCATTCAAATTTTTTTTTCGTGCAACCCGGCGTGAGTTGAACGCAAAAGTTGCCTGAAAAATCGCCACTTCTCATTTCACGATGTAGATCACGTTCCCTATCTCAGTCGTTCAGTAGCTGCGTGTTCTTTCTACTCTGCCTGAGTTCGTCCGGCACGAATCACCAACTGCCGCTGTGTAAGCCAGTGTTGAATATTCTCCCCATTAGAACATTAAAAGTGCGACAGCAAAGAATTCGAATTACCATATTCGAGATAGTCGAGCCATAACCGCGAAAGAAACGTAAGCTCCAACGTTTTTTATTTGCCGTTTTTTTTTTGTTTAATAAATTTTGCATATTTTCCACACACAGTTAGCTTCTTGCAAACAAATACAACAAAAAAAAGCTGAAAGTGGACCATCCATTCTCGAGTTATGCGCCATCTCACGTACGCAAGTTTGGTATATGCATAGAAATATTTATTTTTAATAACAATCGGGGGTTATATTCGATGTAAATAAGCTTGTTTAAATAAAATAATTAAATAAAATTCGTTTTTGTTTTAAAATACCACCATTCACTATTATCCACACCTTTTTATGGAATTTATCTCCCACTTTAGGAAGTGTGATTGAATTCATCCCCTTTTTCTCCTGCTTCCATAGAAAACAAAACCTTTAATAATTGAATCATGGGTCTAGCCCATAAAGGGCCATTCACATACAACTTTCCTCGCTTTGCTTGACAGTTCAAACTTTGACCACAAAGCGTGAAACGCAGAAGGTATGCTACAATAAACTCTTTGACAGCTTTTGCGTTCTCCTTTTCCTCCATATTTTTTATCTTTAAAATAGATAACAATATAATAATATGCATTAATAATAGCAATAAAAATTCTTATTTACCCTATTTTTGTCATTAAATGCAAATGCAAGCGCACGAGAAAAGATACATGTAGACAGCTGATTGCCAAAGCGGGCAAAAGTTGAGAGTTGCCCAAGATTTTGCTTCGTTTTGCTTTGCTTTGCTTCAAACTTTTTTTATGTGAGCATACTCATGCATATGCCTTAGGCATGTGTAGCACTGAGCTGCGCGGCGCAATTGCGTTAACACCATAGCCGGAGTTGCCGTGCCAACACCAGTAAATGGAAAGCGCCAGCGCCATTAACACCAAGCAATATGAGAGGCACACACACAATTCGCCTTAACTCTTTGAACGCAAATTTAAAGCTTTTAATCAAGAATGATAGAATATCGTGGCATTTACTACATTCCTAGCAATTAAATTCAGTTGGCGGTACAAGCGTTACTCAGCGCTTATAGAAATAATAGACATGACACCACTGTATGTCCCCTTTCAGACACGTCAAGTCTTGAAAGCAATTTTTTTCGCATTCTCTTTTGTGTTTTCTATTTGCTTCCACACGCGTCAACTTTAATTGAATTCAAGTCCTTGGTTCTTTAAATGGGAAGCAACGAAAAGATCAAAAGAGACAAGAAAACTTGAAACGAATTGGCGGTATGGAGGTATCTGTACTCTTCCCCTCTCTTCTCACCTCCTTCGCCTACGAACGAGCAGACTTGAAAGCAAGACTTGACGTGTCTGAAAGGGGACTATGGTGTACTGCACTGTATGACGATGGGTACTGTGGTGATACTCAGATGGCGCCGTGTTCTATTCAATACACTGCGCTATTGCGTTGGGTTAGTGCGCTGACACCACAGGTGGCACTGGCGTTATTGAGCTAACGCCAACAAAATTGCGCAATTACCCATGGTTAATATGCTTACATCGATCTTATATGTCAAAGCAAAGAACTATCAAGCAAGAAGAAAGTTGTATGTGAATCAGCCTTAATGTTTTCGAAGTGTTGCATGAGGGGTATTCCCCCCCCTTGCAGCCCACATTCAACCAGTCAGTCTTCCTCCAAGGAGGAAAGCCAAGAGCGCCCCAAATAGGTCCGAAGCCCCGGGTACGCTCCGTACTTACCTACGGACAACTGATGCTGGTTGAGTTCATGTTGGCAGCTTTAGCTCCGGCTTTGTAACGGGTGATTTTTTTGAGGTTAGGATTTTCATGCATTAGTATTTGACAGATCACGTGGGATTTCAGACATGGTGTCAAAGAGAAAGATGCTCAGTATGCTTTGACATTTCATCATGAATAGACTTACTAACGAGCAACGCTTGCAAATCATTGAATTTTATTACCAAAATCAGTGTTCGGTTCGAAATGTGTTTATCGACAAATTTTGTTCAGCGATGAGGCTCATTTCTGGTTGAATGGCTTCGTAAATAAGCAAAATTGCCGCATTTGGAGTGAAGAGCAACCAGAAGCCGTTCAAGAACTGCCCATGCATCCCGAAAAATGCACTGTTTGGTGTGGTTTGTACGCTGGTGGAATCATTGGACCGTATTTTTTCAAAGATGCTGTTGGACGCAACGTTACGGTGA